CAGAGAGGTTAGTGAAAATGAAAAAAATTTCAATTGACAAGTTAGTCGGTATTTCGGCACAGCAATTAAACGGGACTTTGAACAGCGTAACTTTGTAACTGAACAAGAAATTTATGTCTGTTTATAGAATTAAAGAGAAAGTATTATCACATAAAAACGAAGCTACTTAAAACAACTTACATTGAAGAAATGTTTAATAAAGTAAAACAAATAAATATTAAGCTTTTTTTTTTTTTTTTTTTTTGTAAAAATTTTGATACCCTTTAGATCATATTGTTCTTTATTTCATAAATTACGGTTTCATATTTTAAATTTTAGAATTTCTGCATGCCATCTTACGAGATTTAAACTGATGATCTATAATCCGGAAAAATCGATAATCCGGAATCGCCGAAGTCCCGACGAGTCCGGATTAATGACTTTTGACTGTATAAATTAAAATTTAATAAGCGATTTTTAATTAAATTTTATTGCTAAAAATAAAATTTTTGAGATAAAATTTCTACTGAAATTGTTATTCAATTACATAAAAGAAGTGCCACAGCCTTCTTATTTAAGGCTCTGGTGCACTCCGGCTAGAATTATGATTTATTACAAAAACTAAGATGCACCTGCCCAATTTAAGCTCTGATCGTAGAGGGAAAAAGTTCTTTTATCATCACAAAAATTAAATATTAAAGGATAGCTAATGAAAATTCAGATAATGCTAAAAACAGGGCAAAACAGAATGAGCGCGTTAGGGTATGAGAGAGTGGAAACAAAAAATGAGGAGAATCTTGACGAGAGAGAATGTTTTCTTTGACCGCGGGTCTCTGCTGATAAAATATAGCCATCGAAAGGATGTGTGTCAGGGGTAAAATGAGTCCTCAATCTGACATTTAAGGATGAATGTAAAGTCGCTGGTTACACTTTTCGCCTCCCCCCCCCGTATTTGGTTAAATTAGTGGATACTGTGGAAAGACGATGTATAGGATGTGCCTGAGCATTTTTTCTCAGTATTTCACTCTTATTGTACTCGCTGTCACTTAACGTACATTTAGGAACACAAATTTTCCTTCCTGCGAGAATAACTAACTGTAACCATCGATAACAATACACTAGATACGATAGCATGGCGAAAAATTTACGCGTTCCTAAACAAACTCCCCCAAATTTATTGCCCTTCATTTATTGCCATTCGAAAAGGTTTCCGAATGTGAGTGAGGGGACTTTACTTGAACGTCTCATGTTCTCATGAGTTCGTATTTCTAGGGAAATAAGAGTATTGCAAGGTCTGCTTATTGTTAAACTAAAACGTTAAGAATTCTAAATTCCCCCCCCTTTTAACTGCGGTTCAGTTTTATAAAAAGAAGTACCAGAGCTCATCTTAGTTAGGGCTCTGGTGCGCTCCGGCTAGAATTGTAAGTTATTTTAAAAATTGAGAAGTACTGGAGCTGGGTTCCGGTGGGCTCCGGCGCAATTTAAGCGCTGATGCTACTGAACTGTGTCAAACAAATGATAAAACATATCCCTTTGGTAAATAAGAAGAATCTAAAGCATTGGGTATTTTATGGAAGTCAAAAGGAGATTGTTTGAGCGCAACGTTAAAATTGAAGACAACGTAAAGGTTACGAAACGGCAAGTGTTATCCGTCATATCTTGCATCTTTGACCCATTGGGTATAGTTTCCCCAGTTATAATTGTAGCAAAAATATTTATGCAGAAATTATGGCTATTAAAATTGAACTGGAATGATGTTTTGCCAGAAAAGGAAAAGCTAAGAATGGAAAGGGAAAGAATTCTCCACTACCTTGCAGCTAATTAATAACATTGAAGTCCATAGATGTATTTTATTACCAGATAGAATCAAGATTGAATTACATGGTTTCTGTGATGCCTCAGAGGCCGCCTATTGAGCAGTTATCTACTGTAAAGCCACATCAGCAACAAACCATACATCAGGGAGGTTGGTGTGCAGTAAATCGCATGTCTCTTCCCTAAAGAAGACTACAATCCCAAGACTTGAGCTTTTGCGCAGCAGTGCTATTAGCTAAACTAATGCACTGAGTGAAATCATCGTTAAAATTGGAGCTTACTGCTATTCACCTTTGGTCCGATTCTATGATTGTGCTGTCATGGATCAAGAAAGAGCCACATCTGCTCAAGGCATTTGTTGCAAACCGGATTTCAAAGATACAAGATCTGACTAAAATTGCATGCAATTCTCTCAAAGATGTCACTAACGAAAGAATTCATAATCGACATTGCCTTGCTCGAAATACCAGTGTCGGGATGAACCTGTTTCAAAACTTTGTAGATGTAAATAGCAAAAGATTCCTTCATGCACTTCTTTCTCTTTTTCTTGTCACCAGATCGAACATTTCTATCGCTTCCGAAGAAAACTCATCAGATCTCACATCTAGAGGTATGGCTGCCAAAAAAAACTGCAACTAAGTCAACTGTGGTAGAACGGGCCTGACTTCTTAATGAAGGATGAGTACCCTATGAGAGTTATACCTGAAGCAATTACTGAAAAGGACAGTAAGGGAACTTAAAAACTTTGCTGATTCTGAACTATCTACATGTTTTAAATCTCAATGTGAATAATTTTGTTAATGATTTATTGAATTGCAGTAATAAGTATTTAAAATTACTCGTATTATAAGTTTTGTTTTTTAGGTTTTACATGAATTGTAAGCAAGAACAAAAGAAGGTAGGTAATTACAAGTGGGAGAATTGAGAGCGCTGAAGAAAAGGAACCCTAATAAAATTAGTACAGAGTGAGTATTTTATAAATGAGATAAATGATCTTAAAAATTAAGGTATTGTTCCAAGAAATAGTTCTATTAAAAGTCTTAACCCTTTCACTGACAGTAATGGACTGTTGAGAGTTGGAGGTAGATTAAAAATTAGCAATTTAACTTATGAGAAAAAAATTTCCTATTATTCTGCCTTCTAAACATAAATTAACAGAGTTAATAGTTAATTACTATCATTTAAAATATTTGCATGTGGGTCCTCAATCTTTGTTATATCATATAAGACAAAAATTTTGGATTGTAAGTGGTAGAAATGTTTGTAGAAAAATTGTAAAAATTGTATAATATGTTTTGTAGCTAATCCCATTGTAGCTCAGCAAATCATGGGTGAGTTATCCAAGGAAAGAATCACGGCTAATTTTACATTCAATTGTACTGGAGTTGACCTCTGTGGCCCATTCTTAATTAAGTACAAAAACCAGAGAAAAGGTATATATCAAAAAGTTTATGTGTGTATATTCATTTGTATGGTTACTAAGGTCATTCATTTAGAGCTGATAACCGACCTAACATCTGAAGCATTAATAGCTACCTTGAAACGTTTCTTTGCATGAAGAGGTAAAAGTTTAAAACTTTTTAGTGATAATGCTACGAATTTTGTAGGTGCAAATGCAGAGAATTAAAGAAATTAAACAAATAGTGAACGAACAAGAGAGCTTTTAGCTGGTTATTTGAGTTTGAGAATATCGAATGTAAATTTCTCCCTCCCAGAGCACCCAATTTTGGAGGCCTTTGGGAGGCTGGAGTTAAATCTTTTAAGTACCACTTCAAACGTGTCATAGGTAATGCAAAATTGACATTTGAGCAATTTTTAACAATTATGATTCAGATTGAAGGTATCTTAAATTCCCGACCATTGACACCCTTGTCTTCGGACATTGATGATTTAGAGGTTCTAACACCTGAGCATTTTTTAATTGGTTAGAGCAATTAATTCGATCATTGAGCCAAGATATCACGGAAGTTAAACATTAACAGGTTAAAATTGTGGGTAAACAGATCACAAGAATTAGTACAAATTATCTGGAAAAAATGGAATTCCGATTATTTATGTCATTTACAAAATCGATCTAAATGGCAAAGCTCTAAAAACAATACACCAGTTGGAGACATGGTCCTAATTAAAGATAATTAGCCTTGTTGTAATTGGGCGGTTGGTCGTATAATAGAAGTATTTTAAGGTAAAGATGGAAAGGTTTGCGTGTGTACAGTGTAAAAAAAACTCAAACTGGAACTTTCAACTGACCAATTGTCCAAACTTATGTGTCTTACCAATACAGAAAATCAGTTATTGTCTTTATAGTATTGTACAGTATTGAATGTGCTTCACATGAAATGTCATTATGTAACTGAAATGTTATATTGTATTGATTTGAGTTGTATTGAGTATATGGTAAATGTCTAATTATAATAATGATTTTATGTAATAGTACTTATTCAAAATTGTTTATGATATACTTGTTTAATTTTTTTATGCTATATCTTAATTACAATAGTTGAATGCCAAGCATTGCAACGCGGGGCGGCATGTTCGCGTCTGCGCATCTGTAATGTAATCCATGCATGCGCATCTGTAATGTGATGATCAAAGGAGTTTGAGAATCGCCATCGACAATGTAAGAGGGCTGGTCACAGCTATGAGTTAATTGTAATTAATTATGAGAATTAATAAAGAACCGAACCAACGAATTTATTTAGTGTGAGTTATTTGGGATGAGACCCAAACAGAAATTATTAACCCTCTGAGCCACATGATCGCCTTTATCCAGTCATGAGATCTTTTGTCAGTTGGTATATATTAGCTTATTATTTAAGATATTTTGCTTTCTTACTTAAATACATGTCATCTTAATGTTTATTGGTGATATTTTTCTATATATTTGGTATGGTAAAAATATAGTATTTATTACTTATAAAGATTAACGTATTTTCACCTTTTTTTACCAAGCTATTTCATTTTATATTTCTCTTGAATCAAAAGAAAGATCTTAAAGTGATCTTATGTACACCACTGTGTATTATAAAAACACACCACTGAAATTTTTCATAAAAATCAAATTTTAATTTAATTAAAATCAAATTTTAATTTTAATGCTAAAATTTACCTACACTACTAAGAAGTTTAACAACTCCAAAATACACCAGTTACATTTAAACTTTAATTAAAATTTAACTTTTATAAATTAATAACAGGAAACTTACCGAACCGGTTCAAAGGATAAGTTAATTTTGTTGCACTCCTGCTTTTTAGTAATTTTCAGCTGTTGCCAGGAAGTAAAAATGGGCAAGAATTTTTTAAAACTGCTTTCAAGAGTCCAATTCAAATAAGTTAAAACTTTATCCTACATAAATCAATCATTTAAAAATCATAATTATAAACATTTTACAGATAACTAGGCAATTAAATATATAGGTTTTTGAAACAAATAAAATTAAGACAAATTAATATTAAATGTATAAAGTTTTCAACCTGAAATTCATCTAAATTTGGACATTTCCATTCTAAATTTTCTTCTTCAGGTATTTCATCTGAATAATTTAAATATTCATCTATAACCTGTAACATTAATAAAAAATTAGGTGAGATTGCATAACTTATCATGCAACAAACTGCTCAACATAAATGAAAATAAACTATATTTTTTATACAAATAATGCATATGGGGGGAGTTCTGAATAACAAACCAAAATTTTCAGGATCTACATTTGCATGACCCGGTCTGCTTTCAATGAATTTGTGAAATTTCAGTATTTAAAATTAGGCACAAATTCATCCTTATTTTGGCAGATTTTGAACAAAATGCTATACATTTTGATCCTTTTCAGAAAAAGGAAAGAACTTTTTTTTTTTTTTTTTTTTTTTTTTGCAAAAGGAGGGATGACCATTTTTATACCAAAAGAAATAGACAGAGGAAAGTGAGTGCAAACAAAGCCTCATCTATCGAGAAAACTAGTAATGAAAAGTGAAAAACTATTTTCTTAATAAAGTAATGAAATACTTTCTTCGAAGTAATGACTTTTCCTCAAAAGTAATGAAATGCAAAAAAGTAAGATTTTTTTTTGTTTCATTTCTATTTTTCTTGATAAATGATACTATGTTCATGCTCTCTTTGCTTCAATCATTGCTTCCAGAATAAAAAGAGTTGTTGCTCTTCTCATTTTTCAAGCATTTATTTGCTCCTGAAGAAAAGAGCTGTGTCTGATCATCCTTGAAATTGATAGAATTTATTCTAAATCAAGGTTTCCTTTTGCCTAATTTTAAATTTTACATTCATGTGTTTTTCTTCCATAAGTTTCAGTACATATGTAAAATTTCTATTGATAATAATGCATATTTTTATTAACATACATTCAATAATCTGAAAATTATGAAGTCCAAGTAAAATTTGAACTCCATTCAAAATGAAAAGATATCAGGTTTTAAAAACGCTCCACATACTTTTAAGTTCCACTTTATATATCATTATTGAGTCTGCATGATATCATTCAAAATTTATGCATTTTTAATTCACATAGAACTTTGTAGTCAGTATATTCTTTTGTTAAATGTTTGTTTTGTTTACATACAAGAAGCTTTAAGTATGGAGATGACAGAGTTTTTTTATTTCTGTCAAATAAAGATGCTATTCAAGAGAGATATTTGTCAATGGAGAAATTTAATCGCTGGAAATTTAAAGGACACATTTTCAATGATAAATATCTATAGAATTTACATGTCTGTTGGAACAAATTGCATTGCTTTGCTCATAACTTAAATCTGCATCTATTAAATAAACATAAAATATAAAATACCTGCAAAGCTGGGAAAAAGACATACAAAAAACAAACTAAAAGAAATAAAATTTCAGTCTCATTAAAACAATGCATTAAACTATACCAGTTTCAAAATTATACTGCATTCTTCCTTTGGCAAATGGTAAAATAATAAGTAACAAATTCTATGCAAAAGTAAAAAAAAAATATTTAAAATAACAGCAGAATAAGTAACAAATTCTATGCAGAAACAAAATTCCAAATAAAAGTGTTTTTGAAGTGCTGCATAACATCATCCAACCCTTAACAGGTTCTTTCTTTTTTCCCTCCCTTGGAAATAAATTTTTACGTTCTTTAATGCATAATTTTGAAGTTCACATGATTGATGATAGTACACAGCAAATCATTCTAGTAAGAGATGCTATAAACATCAAATGAATTCCTACATTGAGAAAATCTTTTTCAAGGATAAAATTACAAATTAAAGATTATATGTAATTTTATTACTTACTACTACTTATATACACTTACAAAGAGAAAAAAAGGTTACTGACAAAGTAAAGTTTGAAAGATTATTGACAAAGAGAAACAAGGAGATTAGAGTTAAAATTGTTATGAACATTTAATGGAGGAACGACTTTTTTAGTCTAAGAATGATTTTTAATTACTTAAGTAATGATCTGAAACAAAGACAGCTTTGTAAATGGCTCTTACACAATATTTCTTACGAAAATCAAGAGTAAATCTTATTATTGTAATCTCAATAAACAAGAGATTCAAAGTCAAGACACTGTGATTACACAAAATTGAAAAAATAAAAGAATCTACAATTTCTTTGGCAGAACAATAGAATCCAGCATATAAGCATATGGGAGGAAGTAAACTGATAAAGATAATGCACATATTGTAGCCCTAAAACTATAATTACATTAACTGTAGATATCAAGTAAAGCAACAGAATAGATCATTTAACAAAAGAATATACTGACTACGAACAGCGTTCTAGTAGTTCAAGAGTGAGTAGTGTAATAAAATGGATTGATGTCATAACACATTAAACTTGAGTGTAAACCTTCTTATTTCCATTAAAGAGAGCAAGAACTATCAGAGCATTTATTAGACTGCAATTCCTTATGTATTTTACCAATGCCTATTTTTGCCAATGTCACCAAGCTGTGCAATAATGGATACATGTTCTTCACAGCACACTCATAGGATGTAAATAAAAAATAAAAAAATAAAACTTTTTGAAAGATACAGATTGAAGTAAATATCCAAATAAGATTTCTATAATGAAACACAGAAAGGATTATCAATCAAGTAATAGTGTTTTTTTGGTTTACTGCAATTCTTAAGACATCCTTATGCTGGGACCATTTTCAAAATATAATTTCTCTAGAGAACCTTCAGTTATCTTTTGCTTCAGTTGAAAAAAATCTCATTTCTTGTTGCCACTGTCAAACAGAATTAAGCTATTTAACAGTGAAAATTGGAAGAAATCAGCATTGCTCTCTGCCTATTTTCTATGTGACTAATTTGCATGTGAACTAAGCCAGCCTAGTATTTTTAAAGAAGGCTGTAAGTTAACTGCTATTCCTCTATTTTGCATTTGAAAACATATTTAAAATTTGGGATCTGAATTTTACTAGCAAGCAGTGGGGTTAATTTCAAAATTATGGGTCTAGTTATACACCATTTAGATTCATAGCTGAATGAATTTATGTGGTGTCACGTTCATAAAGATGATAATTCCAAACTTCAACAGAGACTTTTGACTGCTGGAATGATTGTGGCTAGTTTTAATGAATTTATTTGTCAGATAATCTTAAAGATCAAGCTCATATTTATTTAAGATTTGATAGTTTCTGATTATCCATATCGTCTGGTTTTAGTATTCAGTAAAATAACCGTGTGTTTGATTTATTTTCAAATATACATACAACCATATGCAAACATCATACACACAAAAACACATATAATTATTTTTACTATTGAGGATGATTTCATTTTATAAAAAACAGCTACAGTGTCAGCTGAGAGCTGAACTGCGTCAACTGCCTGGAAAGCAGCTCTGCTAATCATTATCGATGGATACTGCAGGTGTAGAGTATTCATCAGCTATAAAAATATAAATATTGTTAACACAAAATATAATACTTTTTTTGGTACTTGTCTTCTGTAGTGGCTTTTGTGAGTAAATATATTTAGCACATTTCTGCACTGGTGAAAAATAATCACTAACTGATTTGAACAGGTGTGAGAACAAACAGTTACTGATTTGTGCATGAGTAAGAAGCAAACAAATAACAATCTAACTAGGATTAAGACACAATAACGCCGAATAAATACTAATTCAGAAGTCAAACAACAAAAATCAGCGTTAGATTTACAAAATTTTCACAGGACTAGTTTCGATGGTTTTACCGAACCACCATCCTCAGCTGCAAAACCGTAAATGAACAATCTAATCTATTTAACAATCTAACTAGTCTTTCATAACTGCATAAATACAGCAGCAAAGTACTCATTAAGCTTACTATTTTCTGTTTTCCATTAATGAAAAAAGAAGTTATAGTTGATGTTTGAGGTATTTAGCAGTAAGTTCTGTAGAACTATGGCCAGCAGAAAGAGTTTGTAAAAAATTTAAAAATAAATTGCTAATAAAAGTTATTAAATAAAATAATAACTAGAATTTTGCACCATGTTTATAGATGTTGCTATTTTAAACAAATTGCTTACATTATTTTATTAAATATGATAACTAATGTATATACTGAATAAGTTCTGTTGAATCATATTGTTATCTTAAATAAACTACTGGCAAAATTATATTAAATACTATAATAAATACAAAATTATATTTAATAACTTGCGTTGTATGGATATTGAATGAACTGCTGATTTATTGTCTTATTACACTTTATAATGACAAATTACACTTTCTTAAGCCCAGCTGTCTTCTCTCGCCAAGGTTGCTATAGATGAAAAGTACCTTTTTTAAACATATAAATAGTTTCTTCCTTATAAAAGACACTTTTTTGTTATTATTTATGAACAGAATTATACATATGAGGCACAAAGACAGTAAACAAAGATTATCTGCCGATTCCCAAAGTTGCCAAAAAGTTGCAACATTTCACGTAGGGGGCAGATAATACAAAAGTACCAAGTTCTTACATGCCATTTTTGTAACTTGTATTGATTGACAAACTAATTATAAAAAGACTTGTGATTATCTAACTAAATAAACAGTAACCTGTTCCATCAAATTTCCAACAGAATGCATGGTGCAATTTTGGTAGGATCTTTCCCAATTTTTACGGCTAGTGGGAAACTGCACTAAGTACCAAATATTATCAACACTGGGAAAAGCTAAGATATATTAATTTCATTTATGTTCAAATAATAATACCTTTAAATCTGGAAAATTACCCATTTTCTTAACAATATTATAAATTTTCAATTCAGTTTTTCTTTTCAGTTCAATTTCATTTTTCTTATGCCATGAACAAGTGCAAGGTTTGCTAACATCAGGTAAATAACAGGTAATTTTACTTTCACACATTTCACATCCTTCTTTTTTATGCTTTGAGCTAGAACCTGAAATTTTTATAATAAATTGTTAGCAGTGAAGATAACCAAAGATACTAATTAAGACATTCATAATTAAAAAATATATATGAGAAAAAGCACTGTATCTGAAATACTAGCTGGTTTGAAAAAAAAAAAAAAATTAAAAGTTTATTTCATGCATTTAAACATAAGGACTAACTAATTTAACTAATCATTATTTTTGAATTTAGAAAAATTCAAAAATAATGATTAGTTTAATGAACTGCTGAGTAGCAATTTTTATTTTATACCTGGATAAATGTAGTGTCTATTATAACAGGTCACATCTCACATGCACACTTTCATTATAACTCTTATTGGTGAGCTGAAATGTACAAAATTATCTGCAATTGCCTAAATACGGAATTTTATCCTTGGTGCATTTACAATAAGATTTTAAGGAAGATTGCTTTGCACATCTGTGACAGGCAGGCAATTGTAGCTGATTAATAACCAGATGTTTTTTCACATTTTTTTTTAAAGATTATGTCTTAATGAAATTTGTTGTTGCACTCTTTATGGCTATATGATTGATTTTCTTTGAAATGAGAGAGACATTGGTTTAATTTTTGGTCTCTATCAGTAAATACATTATTCTGTGTTGTATCATCTTTTTATCTCCCACCAGCTTATATACATAGGTAAGAGAGGTAATGTTTTTGGTCCAAAAATTTGATAGTGAGTTTTCTGAGAATAAACACAAATTAGGGTCCCCACATAAAGTCCGTCTGTATGCCTATCTGTTTGTGTGTATGCATGTGACGATTCTTTTATCCATGCAATCCATGTGATGATTTTGGTGAATATTGAATTGACCCCAACAATGAAAATTTTGAATTTGAAGATGACTCTGTTTGTATTTGATCAGCATGAATTGAATGATTTGGTATGAGATTTGGGACTACACAAAAAAAGCTTCAGAGCTGTTAGCATCAAGACTGCATGAGAAAAACTTTCTTGAAAAAGGAGTTAAGGTTCTTACTTTCAATCAAGAGAAAGTGTGTTTCTTCAACACTTTTGAAATGACGATGGCTTTGTGTATTGCCATTGTGTATGTGGTTTAATAAAAGAATTGGCAATTTCAGCTTATAATGCAACTCGTTGATGACGGCTCATCGATAATTCGAAGTGGAGCTTGAAGTATGTTCTCCCTACAATGGAAATTTATTTGGTGCAGTCCCAGTAGACTATTCAATTTGTTTGTGTGAAGATTACAAAGACATTCAAGAGAGTCATTGATTTGTTGAAATATATGCACCAATGGTTCATCTGTGTTGACCATAAATGGTCTGTTCCTCCTAGGCCAAGCAATGCGGATATACCAAGTATCCCTGTTAAGTGCATGTGGGATACTAGAGCTTGTGAAAAACACTGGATGCAGTTGAATGGACCACCAAGATCTGACCCGAAAACTGATGATCCAAACATTTTACATCAGCCACTTACTGACAGAAAGAAAATTATATTTCCACCTCTGCATACAAAACTGAATAATGAAGCAATTTGTTAAAGATTTTGCAACTGAAGGAGACTGTTTCAAGTACTTCATTTTCACATTTCCTAACCTGTCATTTGAAGAGATAAAGGCCAATGTGTTTGATTGTCCAGAGATTTGGCAGCTCCTTAAGATGAACATTTCATCAGAACAATGACAGAACTTCAAAACGAATGCCTGGTTGGCATTCAAAAGCATTGTCAAAGACTTTCATGGAAATACATGAGCACAGAAATACAGCAAAACTGTCCAGCAACTTTTGGAGAACAGCTCCGTGGAATGGCATTACACACCAAGACCCTACCCATAACTGAATACAGTTATAATTTTGAATAAATTCCAAATTAACTTAAATAAATTATCTAACATTTTTTTAAAATATAATTATATAATATTTAATTAAGAGAAAGTGACTAAATATTTAAGGAATCCAGAGAAAGCCATCTAGCACATGGAAAGCCACAAGGGCTGGTGTGTAACACATAAGTAAGTACAAACACTCAATGCCAATGAAGAGCTTAATACATGTAAATAATTCTTAATTAATAAAAATACAGTAAAAACAATGAAATTGCAAGTTATATAAATAATACAAGTGTTAAAGTTTCTACTAAAATGCTGGGATTTAATACTGCCATTTGCTTTAATTGTTATCTGCATTACAATAATTATAAATTCTAATTTTAGGGTTGCCACTCAAACAGGAGAATGAAATTCCCTGACTTTTCCAGGTTTTCCAGGTATGTTTCGAGAAAATTCCAGTCTATCCGCGTAATGTACGTTGGCTGTGCTAAGAGGTAAATTAATTATGGTATTACTTGGTATGTGTAGCAAATTCACTTAATTATTCAATAAATCCAGAGGACATTTATTCTTAATTATTCTTGGTACACCTTGTTTGATAATTTTGTTTACTTTTCCACTTAAGAAACTTAATAAAATTTAAGATATATACATTGGATAACAATTGCACGTTTTATTTAATTATTACTCATGAGCATCACCAGTTCAACATGAGGCTAATCCGGTTCTTATAAATCACAACGCAATGCTAAAAGTCAGGTTAGATTTTAGGTAAATTTAATTTGTGTGAGGTGTCTTCTTAAAAGGCACCTTAACACTTGAAAACACAAATATAATTATAATAGGAGTTGTTTTCTCCACTGAAGATTGAGATTAGAATCTTCCCAATCTGGAATAAAATAAGGCTTTTTTTTGCAGACATTCTGCAGCTAAATGAAAGAAAGAAATCTATTTAATGATATTTTTTTACTAAATTGAGGTATTTTATATTTATTTCGCAGCATACATAAGGAAAAAATATGTGCATTAAATTTCGTGATGTCATCATACTGCTAGAATTAATTTCAGGATTATGCCAGAGAAAATTTCTTGAAATTTGGAAATATTATTTACTAATGATAAATAAATTTAAAGGGAAGAAGCAACATTAAATGATATGAATAACATAAAAATAAAGATAATTGCTTAAAAATTGAATTAGAATAATGAACGATATTTTAGCGAATATAGTTATATTACATGGTTAGCCTAGATGACTGATTACTATTTTTTTATTTTATTGCAAAATGACAAGGTATTTATTAAAAAGAAAAGGAAAAAAAAAAGATTTTGTGGTAAAATCCTAGTATACGGTACGGCCTACGCACGATTTTGAAAATTGTCGCCAAGAACAAAATGACTCGTTTACCGCTCATCATCATGTCGCCAAATCCCGCTGTACCATACATGGAGATTATTCTAACCAAAGACCGTCTATGTAAAGAAGAAAAGGTTCCATACACGTAAATGCTATTATGCGGCTAGAAAGTGGAGGGAAAATTTGCCAAGGGATTTGGCGACGGAACCTGGTGGCCAGAATTTCCCTCTCCGCGATGTGTACAGGAAATTGAGAAACACGTGTTAAGAAGAAACGTTCTTTGACAAAAAAAGAAAACTACGAAAATCCATTTTTAAATTATTGCGAAAAATCCAAGAAGAAACGTTTTATCAAAGAAAGTTTTTTCTTGGATTTTTCGCAATAATTTTAAAAACGGATTTTCGTAGTTTTTTTCCCCCCCTCAAAATAACTAATCCATGAATTAATTTACTTGTGCAAAAAGATATTTTCTTTTCCTTTAGATTATTAGAGTTTAAAGAAATTTTAAACGATATTCATTTTATGAATTCTTGATAACGTGACCTTCGAACTTCGACACCGGTTTCGAGCTTTGGCGACATATATATCGCGCACGCACACCTGTTTCCCTCTATGATGGAACGGAGCCACGTCTGTTGCAGAGAGGTTTTCTTTCTTTACAATACATATTTTTTGATTCTAACCTTCATGGTACCGTATACTAGGATTAAACCCATTTTGTTTTATACGAGAACAGGTACTTTTTTTAGTTCATGCACTGCACATGCGATTCTTGAGGTTACTGGAAACCAAAAGCTGCGGGAAACTTGATTTGCCTTTCTAAAAGACAATCAAATTGGAGCTGCGAAAATTCGCTCTATGCCAGCTGCCCGAATGACACTCACGTGATACACAATTCGCTAAAAAAGTGATTTCTTTCGACGTCGGCACAAAACTCGCCTTTTTTGGCAGGATCGTTGTATGAAATTCCCTGACTTTTCCAGATTTTGACTAAAACACTTAAATTCCCTGACTTTTCTCTGAATTTTTTGGTCAATTTCCGAATTCCCTGACTTTGGCAACCCTGTAATTTCTAAGTTGAGAATGCTCCTCATCTTAATGTGAAAATTTCTAACGCTAAACTGATAATTAAAGGTGCGAAGCTGTAAAAATTTGAGTTCCTCATGGATTGCAACATTACGCACATACCATGGTGCACCAATGATTTGGTGGAGAACAGAGTTCTGCACTGTTTATAATTTTCTTCTACATGATTTACAAGAATAGGACCAGACTAGACAGGCATAACAAAGCATGGGATGCAAAGTGGGTTTATAAATGAGTAACTTGTTATCTATAGAAAGAACGCTGTTTTGAGCAACTGAAGGGAAGAGTTTAGCTTTATGCACTCAAAAGTTCTGGATAATAGCTTGAATCTGTGGGTAACATGTGAGAGACTTTGTGAGGATTACCCTATGATAAGTGACTTGCTTAAGCCTAGGGCTAAGTGTTACTATAAAATTTAAGATTTTTCCACTATTTTTCTTCTTTGTGAACATGACTGCCACAGTTGTATGCAGTAACCACGTTATGTGATAGGTACGCATAATAGTATAACGGTTTAGTAACGCTTGATCATTGTGCATTATTCTTAGGAATAATTCCACAGAAATATCCATAAAGGCTTGATGGTATTTTCCTAGAACTTTGGACTCTCCACTTTTACTTTACTATGACTATGGACACATTTAGTGATTCAAACAAGAAGCCATATTATTGTTAAAAGTAATTCCCCCCATAAATAATTGTAGCATTCCTATTCAAGGTGACTAAGCAACAATAACCTACCCTGTC